GAATAGGTTTATATTTGATATGGGACCCAAGTGCTGCTCACCTGTTGCTTGCGATCTAATTGTATTCATTTTCCAACGATTACTTTAGTGCTTTTCCTTTTACTGTGTAACCAAAGCCTGCACTCACTTCTTTGATTCAGATCGTTACATAAAGCGGTTTCTTTTACGTCAATCCAAACGTGCTTACGTTCATAGTGCACGCAGTAGCTGTCGTTTTTACATTGAACCTACTATGCATAGGTTGCAAAGTCAAATAAATACCACGAAAAACGCAACAGAAACTCACCTTCGGTCAGTTCCGGGACGTAAAAGACGTGAAGGAGGAGCACCACACGTGACCTAATGTTTGTACCGCTATTGCCTCCGGACCCGGAAGTGAGTGCAGCAGCGGTTTGTTGTAACCCGAGGAGAAGAAATGCCAGTGAGTATGACCTGGTATTCTCTGCTCGTTTTACTTATACTATATATAGTTATTATCTGTAATATAATACATCTAGGGGTGGTGGAGTTGGGGGGGGGCTGTGCTTTCAGAAGAGATTTGAATCCAGACGCAACCGTCGCCATATTTGCAGCAAACAACAACGTATGTGGGCAACTGGAAAACACATCCAACAATTCTGACTCCGCCCACACACACACACACACACACACACACACACACACACACACACACACCCACACACACACGTATCATTACACAGTATACCATAACACACATGAACATAACATTCGACAACACTGCCATGCGTCTTGATATGAGTTCTGTGATCACTAGAGCAGGTAAAGCAAAAGTACAGGTTTCAGAGAAAAGTTCTAGTTCAGCGATGAAATGAAACAGGACTAAGATTTGACTCCCGCCTTGATAGAAATATAATCCTTCATCTGGAGTAGGACATGGGATTGAGCCTAATCTTCGACTAGGATTTGAATTCACTGGAAATAGTTGAATACAACCAAAAAAACAAAAAACTTGATAACACATGATTCCACAAAGAGGAATGAAATATTCATATAGAGTATTCTTCAATATTATTCAGTGATTATGGTTTCAGAATCATAGAGATTTTTTTTTTATTAAAGACTATTCATTTTTTACATTCATTCTCTAACACTCTATTTATATTAACATTTATTAACAGGAAAACAATGTCATATATGTATGGATATATGAGAGAGTTCACAATTAAAGCCATATGTTTTCCACAAGTAAAGCCTCATGACAATGGCAGATATTTACACAGGAAGAATAACCAATTCTGTGGTCTGGATAAGAGCCTGCAGGGGTCGCAGGTATCTATTTACATTAATTAGAAGTGAAAAAATGGCAAGAATGTAGAAAGGATTGCACAACGCAAAATGAATGTTTGTGTTGATACTCAAAACGGAAAGTGCAAGTGAGTGAAAATCATTTTTAAAACGCGTATTAGACGGTTTCTCTTGGTGCCCGAAGATGTACCTGTATAGTCACGGATGGACGCGCTTGAAGTAAAAACTACAGCATTTCCTATTAAGATTTCATGCATTTTCTATTGATGTAGCACACTGCAATGAACACCTTTCAAATGACCCGGATTTGTCATTTAATTTGAAAACAACCTTCTGCTGGCCTCAAGGAGGACATCATAAATAAGATCAGAGTAACAGCCGATGAGAGCGGGTCCTCATTTAAAAATTCCAGTCCGTCTGTAAAGACATTATTTTCTAATTTATAGTTTAGCTGAAATACTTTCCCCACCAGCAGTTTACTCACAGACTATTTTATGGCACTTGAGCATTTATTACAATAACTCAGTATTTGTTTCTGGGTTGAGAAATTCCAGTCTAATCCATTGACCTCTAAATCGATCAAATATTAAATCCAAAGACAGAGGTAACATTTATGCTACTGTGCAAAATCAGGCTGCATGACTAAGTTTCCCTTGTAGAGAAGAAATAAACTGACCGTATGTCAACAAATGGTCATTCAACTTTTCTATGGTTCCTACTTTCAAATGTGCAAATAAATCTGGGGAGGAGAATTCAAACAAGGCAAACAACAACAATTCCACTTGTGCACGATAATAACTACAACCACTTAGAACTATGCCTATTGCACATTACAACAATGATCTTCTATTGTTTGCTATTAGACATGATGCCATATTGCTCAAACAAACTGGATGGTGATAAAACATCCTGATTGACGGAGAGATGCAATGGTTGATGTTTGGAGAGGACGTTAAGTGTCCCGGCCACTCGCGAAACCGCCGGAGCGTAAATGAGACTTACAACAGAGAGAAGCTGTGAGTGAGAGGGTGAGAGGTGAGAGGGTGAGGAGAAGCCAGACAGGCGTGAAGGTCAGTGAAAGGCGGAGGTCCTTCTACTGTAGGAGCTAGGATGGAGATGACAGCCGGTGGGAGGGGGCGGAGGAAAGGGGAGGGGCTGCGGTAAGCTAGCTATGACAACAGTGTTGATTGCTGTTATGCTGTGCCGGTCTATAATCCAGTGTTATAGCTTCTACGGGGGGAGGTGGGGGGCCGTCTACAAGTCGATGAGCTGGTCCACCAGCAGCATGGGGCGGGCCAAGCTGGGCAGGCTGGATTCAGAGCCGCCACTGTTACTGCTGCGAGTGGCCTCCTGAAACTGGCCGGAGAGACACGGGAGGGAGGAGGGGGGGGGGGGGGGGACGAGACGATCACAAGCAAACAGAGGGGTGGGGGGGTTAGAGAGCAGAGGAGCAGGAGTCACGAGAAGCACACGGAGCAGTCAAGAAGGGGGGAGAGAGAGAGAGAGAGAGAGAGAGAGAAAGGGAGAGAGTTTACCTCTACTGGTTTTATAACATGATTTAAGGATGCAGATAAAGTGCAGGCACCTGGTCCTGTTCCCAGTAGGTTTTTACCACTTCACCCATTACAGAGCCAAATCACTGGGACCAACGTGACCCACCTGTTCCCCCTCTGGGCGGGACAGAGTAGAGACTCACCTTGGGAATTCTTTCGGCCCGTGACGGGAATCGGATCGAACTCATCCTCGGGGCCTCCCTCAGCGGGGGTCTGCTGGGGCTCAAAGTCTGAGAGCAAGAGGGACGAGTCTGCGGAGGATTAACAGGCAGGTGGGTTGGTGAAAGGTGAAAGGAAAGGACCAGCCCAGAAAGAACACCATAACTTAACGGCGGCTGCGGTGCTCTCATTGTGGGTCTCTCATTGTGGGTCACATGATGTAGGTATCCAGGAGAAGTACTCTGCTATTCACAAAAATTTAAATAATTGTAGTAATGTGTAAACCTCTTATCTTTGCATTGACTCATTGAACAAAGCATCAGAAGTATTTCGCTTCCCTTTTCTGTCCTTGGACCCAAAGAAAAGTCATTTTACTGATATGCTGAGTGCTTACTTACCAGGTTCACAGATTCAAAGTATGGCCAAAGCAATATCGGAATGTTTTTTTTTTTTTCAATACTTGTGGAGGAGCTATGTGGCCAGCCAGGGTCTCTTGCAGATTAGGACAGCACGTCAATAAAAATATTTACTTAAGAAGATCTGGGAAGATCAAGATCCAGAACTGGTTCATGGAGAGTTTTCCTTTCAGCATCCAGAGCAGACTTGCGTCTCACAGCTACTTCAAAGACGTGCAAAAGGCTTTCGAGAGCCAAGTGGGGATCCTACACTTCCTACATTAGAAGATGTCTTTGCAGTCTTACCGCTCACCTGCTACAGACTGTGCACAGTCTCCAGACAACAGACTGAAATCATCCAGAGCGGAGGCAGCAGAGACGGGGGCAGAAGAGACGGAGGAGGTGGCACCGCTCGCCGCTGGAGGGGCGGACGGACCCGAGATCAGAGAGCAGCCCAGGAGGGAGTCGTCTGCGGCGAGAGGGTCTGCGGAGGGTCAGTGGAAGCCAAAGAGGGTCGAGTTCAGTTCAATATTGATTCGAAGAATCAAGCATTAAACATTCTGAGTTAAGTTGCTACCACTAATTATAAAGATGTACGATTTTAAGACCTTTTTGGCTCACACACACACACCTTTAGTAGAATCTTCCAGGGAGCCACCGAAGGGATCCGACAAGGACAAGAGGTCGGGGAGCATGAGTGAAGATACGTCTGGAGATTTGAGTCCTTCAATCAGCTTCTCTGAAGGCCATGAAGAATCAGGACACAATAAAGAGCATGTGCTTGAGCTGAGTGCAGCAATAACAATACCAGCTGTTGCACGGAAGGTAAAAGGCTCAGAGTGAAATAGTGAACAGACACATGAATACAGGCCTGTTCAAAGACGCCATTTAGTCTGGAGCCAGAGATGAATTTTTCATTAATTTGACCTTGTAATGAGGACATGTACTTACATATATATATATGTATGTATATATATATATATATATATATGTGTGTATTATATCCACGGAGAGGGATATTTACCTGGTGCATCAGACAGCTCGAGGATACCAAAAGGATCCGGGACAACCAGCGAGGCCTGCAGCGAGGCTCCAGGATCCACATCGGGAATGATCGGTCCCTCAACTGGGAAACAGGCAGGTTCTTTTTCAGCAAGGACTTTTGAAGCGTCACAAAGCCCAACGATGAGTCTAAAAATACGTTATGGGAGGACTTTTTTCTTCTTGGTATGTTTTACAACAAATGGTGGTATACCCAAGTATACAATATTTTAGGCAAATTATAACTGTCAATACCAAGTGGGTCTGACAGTTATAATTGAATATATATATATATATATATATATATATATATATATATATATATAAATGAAGCAGCAACTATGTGTCTTAAATCCAGTTTTCTAATTAATTCACATTTCTACATCGACACAGCAATTATTTGAGTGTATTTTTATCACTGCAGCAGAACAAATGGAACTTTATGTGCGCTCTCTTGTATATTTCTGGACCGTGTCAGACCCTTAGCTGAAGTGCTTCCTAATACAGTAATAAAATCAATTATTTAACTTTTCTTTCTTGCTACGAAAATTTATTTATTTGCATTGAAGAGCAGCGGTACCATCAGAACTCTTTACATTAAGATCACGAGAGTAATGCCATTAAAAAGTTGCATTATCTTCATTCCGACCAAACCCTTTATATTTTATTTACGTCAGGCACAATTGGGAGCTTGCTATTGAAAGCTTTTTAAAGCCATCAGATGAAGGATACGGTGCATTAACAGGTTTACATTGCAATATATTCCTCCAGACTCAAAGTAAAAATGCATAGAGGAACAGCTCATCAAGATATCTTTACTGTAGATCTCAGTCTGGGCTTCCTCCAGGGGTTCAAAAACGCTCAGTGCAGCATAGCGGGCCATGCCCCTCTCCCCCACACCCCAGTTATGGACATTTTACATTTTAGTAAAGACTAGTCAAAAGCCTCCACATCCGGCATGTAATTAGTTACAAAAAAGATTACGCAGTTTAACCAGAATGTTGTCTATGTTTGTTACAGGCCGTGGTTACAGGGTGTGAGTTTCATCACACTTATTGTACAATGACCCAAATATTGAAGTCCGAAGAAGGATGTTTTTAACAACAACTGTTACATAAGAAGGAAAACGTAGTTGACGCACATAAAGCTTTCGCTTTTTTTAACCATTTTTTGCCAATTTGAAAAACGTTAGTAAGAGATGATCTGACTATGGAACGTTTGATGTTTAATGCTTTTAGTTCCATGAACAAGTAATGAAAGATTATGCAGACTTAGAGAAAAGACATACCAGCATCTTGAGGTGTATTATCCACAGATACGGCCTGCAGACCTGGTATCAACTCCTCTGAGGATGATGGTTCAATTTTTAAAGGAAGGTCTGAAAAAAAAAAAAAAGGAATTCAGTTTACAGCCTATTAAAAATACGACACATTTTCTTCTACTGAACACGGTAGTATTCATAACAGTACCGGTGGGCTTTTTGGCCTCAGTTTTGAATTTGTCTACAGTGAGGTTGGAGAAGTTGTCATCGTCAAAAGGGTTCCACGTGGGCTGCGTGGGGGCGTCGGTGGCATCGCCGGACGCTAGAACAGTGGAACCATCTTTATTTTGGTCCTGATCTGCATCACCAGCACCGAGCTCCACGAGCTGGGCGGTGCTCGGCTGAGATGGAAGTGATCTACGGGTAAAAAGATAAAAAGACAAACAAAACTTCTGATAGCGGGCGACCTGAATTTGGGCTGTTCATTGGGTTCATGCCGGCACACGTGCAACTTACTGGCTGGGGGCAGCGTCTCGGTCGGCTCCTTGAGGCTGCAGTGAGGAGTCGGTCGCTGGAGCTCCAACGACGCTGTTCGCTGCTGCGTCACTCGGCGTGCGCTGGTGGCCTCGCTCTCCGGTTGGCTTCGGAGAAGCGGGTGGAGTCTGAACGGTGCACGGAGGGAAAATCAATTCTGCGTTTGCCAGTGTTCCGCCTTCCTGCGCATGGATGGTGAGCGGAAGGTCACTCACCGTCTCAGCAGATTTTTGGCTGATTGCGGCCGAGGCGGGCGGAGCCTGGGCCGCCGACGGCGGAGTCGTCTGCTGCTGAGATGCAGCCGTCTGTCCGGAGTCCGGTGTGCCGTGCGCAGCCGCGGGCGGCTGGGCCTGCTTGCGCCGAGCTGGACGCTGAGGCGGAGCCGGGCTCGATGGAGTCTGAGCCGCCTGCTGGGAGGTGGCGCTGACCCCGCAGGGGGGTGTGGTCTGCTGCTGCACAATCGGCTGCGCCTGTTGTTGGACGTCAGCCTTGGTCATTGGCGACGCAGCCGCAGCCGCTGTCGCTGTTGTTGTTGTTTTTGTTGTAGTCTCGGCTCCTGTAGCTGCGGCCGGCTGCACCTGCTGTCACACAAAGATTTATAAAATAATCTGTTGTCAAACCATCAAAATGAGGGTTCTGGGTCCTGTGAGCAGCTGTGAATTTATATTTGTGTAGGACTGTCACGTCATATTTATAGACGTATTTACAAAACGGTAAATGCCCAATTTAACCTGATGAAGAACTTACCTGTAGCATACAGATCTATTCGTGCCAACCCTGACAAAAAGAGCCCAACATGCAGTGTACCAAGATGTTTCATTCTGTCACTTTATTTAGTTGCCAATTGCCATCCAGAAAGGCAGGCAGGCATTTCTGCGTGGTTGGTCAGTATGTACCTGCTTCTGTGGAGCCACAGGCTGACTTGAATTGTTTAGTGACTGGACGAGTGGCAGCGCTGGAGCCTGTGCCTTCTGTGACTGCAGAGCTGCAGCTGGCTGAGACAGATTTAAGCTGACTCCTGTGGGATGTTAAAAAAGAGCAGTTACTCATCATCTCAACACTCACACAGATGTGCAACAACGTATACATCAAGCAACATTAACAGGTTAATACAGCATTTTCATTTCATTTCGAGAAAATACATCAAAGGGTATTTCTAACAGGTACAGCAACTGAAACGGCATAGCAGAGTGCGGAGAATATCATTACATAATTACTTAGGGCATGTGGTTGGATTGCTTAGCTTGCATACTTGATCTGTTCCTGCAGGTACTCGGGTGTGTGCACAAAAGATTAGAGGGATTCTTTATTCAAGAGCTCGGTTTAATTTGTCCCTGCGAGGGACGTGAGATTGAGGACGTGGGGCCGTACGTACCCACAGGCTGAGCCGCACCTCCTGGGAGATTAGCCCGCTTGCGGGGGGTGAGCGCAGCAGGCTGGATGGGTAGGATGCCAGCTGCGGGCTGGGTGTGGGCTGCTTTGGGCCTCTGGCGAGGGGTGATGGAGGTTTCAGTGGTGGGAATTGGATCAGTCAGTCTGGCGACAAAAGGGAGCGTGTTGGCCTTCTCGGTAATCACGGCAAATGGTGCTGGCATAATTATTTAATGAGTATGAATCCTGACTGTGTCTAATTACTTTGAAAAAATGTCATGTTACAACAGCTTTCACGGTGCCACCGTGTAAGCGGGTCATGCTTGCCTGGGTTTAGCCTGGTTCTTCTTTGCTGCTGCAGCCTCACTCGCTTTAATGGGCTCAGGCAGTTTAGAAGGAATTGGAGAATTCTGGATTTATGTAAAGAAAAATTAAACAATGTTTAATGAAGTCAACATTATCAAAAACGATGGTATTAGGTTCATTTGGCATTTGGCAATAATAAGGAATATCATCCCTGCTAACAAGTATTTTTCACTCTTTCCAACATGAATCGATGCAGATTTCCTCCCCGCAGAGAACTGGCTGTTCGGTCCACTGATACAACATGAAAATCAATTCCTGATGAGAGAAAGCAATTCTGAATATTTCAGCTGACGCCGATGCTGAGAGAATCTGACCTTCACATTCTGGACAGGACAGGTCCGCTGAGCCAGCTTAAAAGCAAAGTGGGACACCTGGTAGATATCTGGCCTTTTGTCCGGGTCCGGCTCCAGCATGTACCCTGAAAAAAAACACCACGAACAAACAACACAGTTTGACTTGGAAAGTTTGGAAAAATATATATATATAATAATGTGAATTGATGCTTGAGAAGGACTAACGAATGAGGCAGTGAAGATCATAGGAGTAGCGCGAGTTGTCCGGGATGGTGAAGCTGCCATCACAGATGGCCACCTGGCTTTCACCGAAGGGCAGAGTGAAGAAGCAGACTTTGTAGAGCAGACAGCCCAGCGCCTGCAGAACACGACGCACACGCCCCGAAGGAAGGGGGGATATTAATAACACACAGTGCAATTAGTAACGTTTAGGAATCTGCTACTTAACAAATCGACATGTTTAATATTAGTCGTGGGCCATTATGTTCACTTTGATTCTCGTGCCCTCCTGCACTTAGATCACAATTATCACAGTCGCTCCTCCTCACTCACCCAGATGTCTGCTTTTGTGGTGATGATCTTGTTATTGTAGAGGTTCACCATCTCAGGAGCACGATATGATAAAGTCGTGTACCTGGAAGAACACGTGAACAAAACAGGAAAAAAAACTGTTTTTGATTTGGCTACACATATGAAATGTAGCACTAAACAAAAGCCTAACAGTCACATTGAACAACAGCTTCATTGCCACAGTGCAACCAATCTGCAGGTGAGTGAAGAACTACAGGCAGCTTATATGCTAAAAGCAGAGCTGGTGAATGAGAGCTGCAAATATTGCTGACGAAAAGAGTCACAAACTTCTTGATCTCTTCCTCCACGATGGCCACTCCTTCCGTCTGCGGGCTCTGGAACTTGTTGGTGGCGCTGCCAAAGTCACACAGCACATAATGACCCTTGTCATGCAAGAGGATGTTCTCCACCTGAAGACACACAAGAGAGGAGGCTCGTCACGCGGCCACGAGCGACGGAAGGGGTTATGCAGGAAAGGGACCCCTCAGCGCCCCCCCGAGAGGAGGCGCCGCAGCAGCGGATTCATTCTGCTAAATACAAATACAAAAGCTGAGGCCACCTCTAAGTGTTCAGGAGAAATCCGACCCCCACAAACATATCAAGCATGTTTCTTCTAGACATAATGATGGACAGTAGGCGTTGCCCCCCCCTCCTCGTACCTTCCTTGCCGAATTAACGCAGAATCGGCAGCCTGTCGCGTCCTACACACGCAGCAGAGCGGAGCATTTCACAAGAGAGCGACGGCAAAATGTGTCACCTTAAGGTCTCTGTGGACAATTGGTGTCTTGCGCTGGTGCAGGCGAGAAACGGCATCGCAGGTGTCACAGAAGATCTGTAGCGCCTCCGCCTCGGTGAATCCGGTTTGCAGCCTCTGATTCATCAAATTGACCACTTGTCCCCCTGCGAAAGAACATTTGATTACACAGCGCCACGAACGACAGGCACGCGGCACGCTCAACGCTTTAATGAACCTTAACTTGAGTGTCTTTTTTTATTTTTTTTTTAACTCTGACATTGTTCAAATCATTCGGAAACTGCTACCCAAACTCAAAATTCCTCGAGAGGGATTGGAGATGTGCTTCCATCTCCCACTACCACTGCATTACCCTTGCAGTAGTCCATCAGTATGAGGACCTCCCATACATCCCTCGACCCCATGGCCGTGATACTGGAGTCCAGGTAACCAACAATGTTCTTGTGGCCCACGAGGTCTTTCTACAAGAACAAAGAGACAGAGAGAGCGTTAACAAACCGCTATGTGTGTGTGTGTGTGTGAACTAAAAAGCACAACTAATGCAGAGCTGTTGCATTGTGCAAACACACACACACACACACCCAACGTTGACCGGTGAAGTGGATGGAAACATTTCATAGTGACATGACGGACTTTCTACTTTGGGCATTCAATTCTGGAGAGATGAAAGCAAAAGGAAATCAGAAGTAAGACAAGTCTAATACCAGAAATCATTTAATTTGATCTGGTTGTCGCTTAGTGATGCAGTTTGAAGCCATAACCTGCAGAGGGAGCTTGAAGAGAAAGCTAAAAAAAAAAAAAATCAGGAACCCATTAGATAATGAAAAAAATGTCAAGTCCTGAGCCTGAGGTCAAGCACTGTCTGTCATTCAATGGATGCGTGTGTGTGAGAGCGAGAGAATTTGGACAACGTGTCATGTGATGTTATAAAGAGGAATGACACGACAGAGATCATCTTTAAACCAAATGTTAGGGCTCAGCGGTGTTGGTTTCAGAAAGCAGAATTAGCACTTCAGTTAGAAATTACTGGATGTGATTCTGTCGAATGTTTATACAATCAGCCATCTTTTGTATTTCCTGCTTTCCTTCCTTCCTTCTTAAGTTGTGCTTCAGACGGAGAAGAAAACGTCTTTGTGTGAACTAAATTAATATAAATAGAAATCCAGCCCCAGAAAATCCTACGAAAACCACTCTTCACAACATGTGATGGAATATCTACATTGTGTAATAGGGTGCCATGAATTACATGTCTATAAACTAAACACATCTCATTCCAACACAGGGACAGTACTGCCTTTTATCAGCATGTGATATGTAAATGACATTTAAAGCAGGGACACATTCAGCTCAATGTCATGTTCTACAGCGGCGCTACGACTAGAACGTAAGAGAAGTTTTAACAATGACAAAAACAAATGCTTCACAAAACAAGGCCAACAAGTCATTCGACCCACACCTTGCATGGGGGCGAGCAGAACAAAATAACACGAAAATAAATACTATGAAAACAAAAACAAAGCACGCCGAGAACCAGGTGAATAAACGCGCTTCATCCATCCAAACAAGGCCGCTGCAGGCCGTACGTGTTCTCAGCACACTCTCAGAAAGATTTAACCTCGGCCACTCACCATTATTTGAATCTCGCATTTGCAGACCTGCAGATCATCCTCATTGTTGACGTACATCCTCTTCAGGGCGCAGCGCACCCCTTGATTGGTCCGCACCAGGAACACGATTGCAAAGCCACCTGGAGGATTGAGAAAGAGAGCAAATGGGGCCGTCGGTCCTCAGAAGAGATGATAGAGACACCTCACAGTGAGGGATTATAAACGGATTACATTACAATATCAATGCCACATTTGTGAGACCAAAGCAGGACAACATTTGCAAAAAGGTCTTTGGAAATGCACTTGAAGCGTTCATTTTTAAGCTTGATTACTGACGCGACTGTTGCAATTTGTGTCCGTGTAGCTCGGCGTCAACGCGGCCATCAGGAACAAATGGTGCAGCCTTATAGCGTTATGTATTAGTCATGTCGTTGCTGCGGGGGTTTTACATCGCGCCTTACATCGAGGCCAAACCATCCGGTATGGCTCAGACCACAAATTCACTTTACGGAGTTTAGTCGTGAAGGAGTCATCCATCTCAGGCAGACGTCTCGGCCCTTTCTGCGCCCTCAACTCGACACGGGTTAAATGCTATTGTGCTGCACAGGGGCGTCATGAATCAGCATGAGATACCCATGAGCGCGAGTACGCGATTGAGGCTGGGGGTTTGCAGTTTCTGCACCGTATGTGGTCGGTGAGATTCAGTAGCGTAGGATTGATCAAAAGCCAAGGGAGTTATATAATGTCATATATGGCAAGTACATCGCCACACAATTTCCCTGTTCCATGTTTATGCTCGTGGCACGCATGGTGCTCATAGACAGTATCTTACTTATTCAAAACAATACAAATATAAATGCATTATGTGGCTCAGGTACAGGCCTCCAATACTGCTAATATTTATAATGAGTTCACAACCATGTGTTACCAACGGCTCGGAATACACTAAAGCTTTATTTGAGAATTCGGAATCATAGGAAGAGCTAACGGAAAGCTGTTAGTCATAGAAACTGTTAAGTCAGGAGCACAGCTGAGAGGAAGCGAGTCGGGCCTCCTCCTTTCATTCATGCAGCACGAGATGCACGACGTCAGATGCAAAGCTGCACAACTCCTGCGGGGATGGCGTAAGGCTCTTTACGGCCCTCATCGGTCACGTGACTCACGCATGTGGCTTTCAGACACACAACACAACACACACACATGATGCACTGGATTCATCACGCATTTCAAACAAAACACCACCCCCCCACCACACTCTCCTCTTCTCACCTTCGGCGATGATCTCCTCAACAGTAACCTGGTGTCGCCCGACATTGAAGGCTCTGCCAATGAAATTTCCGCCTGCATGACCGGAGCCGCCCCCACCTCCTCCACCTCCTCCTCCTCCTCCAGAACCGGGCCCGGAATTCACCAACTCCCGGCGAGAATCAAAGAACTTCCTCATGGCAGCGAATTGACGTCGATCGGAGACAGAACCTCCGCGCGCTGAATTATTACACTGATATTATTTATATATATATATTTATTTATGTATATATAACGCAAGGTCGGATTGCGAGCCCGAAGGTTCCGCCGCTTAACGCGAGTCTATTCGCAGCGCGGAAAACATGCAGCGACGCCTTTGGTCGCTTACGACGCTGAGACAACGGAGATTTTTGGGGGCGAATGTCCCATTTCGCTCGCCAACACGGGCCGGTCGGTGGTGTCGCTGTTATGTAAGTGAATAACACCACCCGGGAGGGCTAAAGCATCTCCGGTGTGAGTGTTTCTCTAGTTATCCGTCCAGCTGTTCACGCTCGGCTGCCGCTGATGATAACAACGTGAGGTCCTTCTCCCATCCCGTGCGGTCATTACCGAGCTAGCCGAGTGCTAGCCGCTCGCGCGCTATGACATTTCGCGTAAGGTTATCCAGGTTATCCTCTGAAGATAACGCCTTCGGGTGCGATGCGTCCGACGTCTGACTTGTGTGGTGTGTCCCCCCGAAACAGTCTTTCCATCCTCGGTCAAGTGAAGTGATGGCACATAGCTGCCCGTCCCGGTCTATTTGACCGCTTTCCGTTTACATTAAAGCTGTGATTTTAGTAAGCTAGCGCGTTAGCGAGATGCAGCCTTTTATCAACACATAGCGACTGAAGCAAAAAAAAAGAAATAAACAAAGCATCCGTTTGCTACAGCTGAAATGAGAAACCGTACTATTTGGCATCCACCTAAATATTAGGAGGACGTTTCAACCCAGCAGCGCTATCTGTGCAACCGCAGCAATCTTCGCCTGCCCGCGATATCGCAACATCCTAGCTGTTGCTGTTGACGCACGGACGGAATTATGGGCAATGTAGTTTAGAGCGTAGCTGCAGTCCCCCCTCTCCCAAATCCCTTCGAGAATGAGGTCATACGCCGCGTTCATGTCTCATCGCTCGGCCCGTATACACGAGAAGCTGGGAAATAGTTCACTGTCCGACTCGACGCAGTTCGGATACATAACACATTTTTCAAAAGTTGTGTTTCTTCCACAGAGTGAAATGAACTGAACAAATATGACGTTCCATCTAAAAAGTTTGTATTCCAGTTTCACTAGTTTCTCTAAAAATGTGTAACACAATACAATAATTGGAGCTATTTATATGGTATTTTAAAAATAATATTATTATGAGAAATGTCTGTGTTCTTCATTCTTTGACAAACTATTATTGCTATTATACATTTGTTTCGCGTGAAGACGTTGCCTTTATATTGTCTTTTATGGTCAAGGTATGTTGCAAACATACCTTGCTTTACTAAAAACAATATTTAGCTGTATCAAAATAAAACATCAATTTTGATTCTGTTCTGACTAAATATCTGATATATTTTAAGTATTATTGTAGGCTGTGGTTTTTATCTGATTGAGGTGGAGCATATTTTAATGATCACTTTCATTATGGGTTTATTGGCAGACTAACGGTTAGTTTGGATTGTATCCAAAAACAATATGATAAAAAAACAAAAAACAGCGCTCAAAGTGACCTTCACAATGATCCATTTGTTTGATAAAATTGTATAAAAATACACGATAGTAACTAAAAGTCTCACTTGTGCATTAGAATTGTAACTAAGTAAATTACAGTCGTCAAATAATCGTAGTAGACTAAAAAAATGACGTTTCTCTTTGGTCGTTGTGTCTACGACATTCCGTGAATGCAGCGCGGAAGGAGGATCTTTGCGAAAGAAAAAATCGCATCATAGTGGGCGGGACGTGAGAGCAGCTGCAAGTTATAAGTTTTGGGGTCCGTTGACGCTTTTACCTCTTTGACGGGCTGCGCGCGGACCATTTGTCACCGGGAACAGGTGAGATGCTGTTCAGGTGTTGTGAGTCACGTTTCTTAAGGTGTTCTGTGACACTCGCGCTCGGCCGCAGTCTGCAGGGTGTGTCCGTGAACTTCAGGCCAGCTCAACTGTACGGCGGCCAAGTGTTTCGCTTCCGGAATTAAAGCAACTCTTTCTGAGCATTTTACTACTTTCCATTTCAGCGATCCCAAAACCGTATAGTGTAGATTTTGTTTTTGCGATTTAGGGGCAATACATACGTTCAACAACGTTGGAAGCAGTTCTACGGTAAAGCCGTTTACTGACGTTTCCTTTCTTACTACAGAGCAATATCCGATGAGCTTGCTGACGTCATCAAATAAAAATATCAACTGAATATCAGTACACCTATCCCAGGTGTGACCTTCAAGCTCTGATACACACGCACAATGTACACACTTTTTTAAAGCGTTCACCCGTGGAGCTCACACACATTTCGTCTGCTCGGAATGACACACTGTATTTGTGTTTTAAAACAAGATCCGCTTTGTGTTTATTTATAACTGTTGTCCGCACACATGGTGAGCGTGTGTGTGTGTGGGGGGGAGTTACCTTTTCTGTATTTACATCACAAACCTCTCAGGTGTTGTTGTTGACCCACACACACACAGACACACGTTAGGTCACTACGTTTAATTAGTTCATTAATGCGTGAGTGTGAAACCTCTCCATGGTCGCTCTCAGTGGAGTAATTACAGGTGTGTCCGAACAAACACCAGCTAAACGAGACACAAGAGAGCCCAGGAGCCGATGTGTGTAACGGAAACCCTCTCCGAGATGATGAACCGCATACAATATTGATCAGAGGTTAACGAGGGTCACATGAAAATAACACCCGACGGCGCTGCAGTGAAGTTGTTATTATGTTATAAACGGATTCCTGCGCGAGTGACCGAACTAACACGGTGTCATTTGTCCTTTGCAGCTTTCTGCACCTCCAGTTTGGAAAGCCTCAATCTTCTTACAATGGCAGCGGTAAGTCCGTCCCACGGCTGATGTTCCATCTGTGCCGAACTGTTGCTCGTCCGAGCTCTAAAATCATGTTGATTTTCTATAGAATTGTTAGATTTATATTTCTTGATGTCACGTTTAATACTACAGTGCAGTCCACTAATTGTCAGCATTTAGTCAATGTGAAAAGTCATAAAGATGTGTAGAAAAAAAAAGATGATTGGGACTAAAATTTACCTTACCAGCAGGGGAAATTAATCTCTCAATTGATGATTACAAGTCAGCGATGAAGGACTCAAATAGACTCTCACAGCTCTCAAACTTTGTCCTGCATTTTTCAAATAATAGACACACACACTCACCCTCCTGCACAGCAAACGTCAAACATCAAGTGAAACCGATAATAAGCGGACAGTGAAACAGAAACGAAAGCCTCATGTCCATTTATGCCATTTCTGTTTAATAAATAACTGTCAATCTTTGTCAATTCTGATCAGATTGGAAAGCGCGGAACGGTGACTGAGGCGGCCGGTTTCAATGCGGAGGAAGATGTCCAGAAACTTCGAGAAGCCATGAAGGGAGCCGGTGAGTGATCCAGATGTGTCGAGCCTGTGCCTCTGAGCAATCCTCTCCGGGAAAACTTGCTGCCGTGGCAACACTCTGAACTCCGTTCAGATCGTCCTGGTTCTTGGCCTCACCCGTACTCACTGGGTTGTCTTAAATATTAATCTTGACCTGGCTGACCCCGCGGGAAGTAATAGTGAATTAATTACGGGGTCACGCTTTCCTGAAACCATGTTGGCGTGTTTGTACCACTCAAGCAGCAACACCCCTTAAAAAAAACATTCAAGTGCACATAACGAGGCCACGTCGTTCACAATCACCGGACTCACAGCGGAGCATGTTTTTGCTGCCAGGGTCAGCTCGCATAATCACCGTCGCCTGACTCCATTCTGAGGGTCATTGAAAGCAGATGGTTTCCATGCTGATGCAAACAAACAACTGTGTGTTAGCGTCATTGGTTTGCAGCGCCGGGCGCCTGATTCTATTCCATGTCCTTCACATCGGGGCTAAACTGTTCTCGAATTATGCTCGGAGAACGTGAATGTGTTTTTCATTTGGGAGGAATATTGTTGGCGGTTATTAGATTCTGTGTATTACTTCTTGCAGGCACTAATGAGGAAGCCATCACCGAGGTCCTGGCGCGCCGCACCGTCGCCCAGAGGCAGCGCATCAAAGAGGCCTACAAACAATCAGTGGGGAAGGTGAGAGAGCGATTTGACCGAGCTGTGCTCAAGCCAGCGGAGGAAATGGTTTCTCTCTGACTGGCGCGTTTCAACATCGGTCGACACGGGTCGAAGGACAGAAACCGGCAGCTAGTGGCTGTTAGAAGGCTGCCTTGATGGAGACTATTGGCATCAGCAGTGGACGTGTCCCCTTCCGTCCTCTTATTCCATTGTGTGTGCGCTCAGTCTGTTGCTTTAGGCTGCTGGTAATGTGCAAGTTAACCATTAACCGAAAAGGAGAAATTGATACCCTCTGTAAACAAAGACCTGGATAGAGACGGCTTTGTCTTCTGAAGGAAAGCAAAATCTTCCATACAATAAAAAAAAAAAAAAACAGAGGCATGCTTCCCTTTGGCGGTTTATTTTATGATTATATGGATCAATATATAAACCATGAAGGGAAGTCTGATGTTTATTGTATTGATATGATATGATGATTGATATAATGTTAATTATAATAGCAATAAACAACTAACTGGACACATAGAGGTCAATAAAGTTACACGAGTTTCACAAAGGGAACTACAGAAAACAAAAACAGCAAGGCTTGTTGGAGGAATCATCGCGAGCAGAAGGAGTGAGTCATGCTGCACATGACGACGCCCACATGTGGTCACACGGGCGAGCTGTGTGCAACAGTTTCTCCAGGAACCGCACCCTCTAGTGGGGTCATGAGTCCTGCTGCCGGAACCCAACATCACGCCACGGCTTACTTACTCGAAATGTGACGACAAGTACAGGTCCCCCCCCGTTAACCCGTCTGCTCCCCGTCCTCCGGCAGGACCTGGCCGACGATCTGTCCTCCGAGCTGAGCGGCAACTTCCGGAGCGTCGTGCTCGGTCTGCTGATGCTGCCGCCCGTGTACGACGCCTACGAGCTGAAATTTGCGATGAAGGTGAGGAGTTTGGGATCCTACAATTGTCTGAATCCTCTAAGAGGTCAATGGGCCATTATGAATTCCTCCCTCAAGCGCTTCTTATTGGCGCATCATCCAGGGCCTGATTTCTTCTTTCTCTGTGCCGATGTTTAGAAACGCGTCCATCGGACACACGGTTGCACTGAGTGACGGTTACAATGAACCTGGATGCTCATCAATCATTCTCATTTAGTCTTTGATACACCTTTCTGCTGCCATGACAACTCACCAGTGCACCAAAAGTACATCTATCCGCAACAAACGCACAATTTCTAAGTAATTACTGAGACTTCTGCGTGTGTTGGTGACTTGCCTTCAGTGCATGTGATTGCTGCGTAGGGACAGTCATTTTTATTGGGATTTGTTGACAATTCAAACGCCACTAAACTGATCCTCATAAGCTGCGTTTCCTTTCCTGTCAAAATCCGTTCATCCCCAGGGTGCCGGAACTGAAGAGGCCTGTCTGATTGATATTCTGGCTTCGAGGACAAATGCAGAAATACAAACTCTCAATGGGGTCTACAAGAAAGGTAAGTGTGTCTCCTCTGTGGACACAATGTATGACATGAGGAGCATCTCGGTGACGGTCGCTGCCTGCGGGTTGTGAGTGACATTCAGTATCGAGTGTCCGTGCCTGAGCCGCTGTGCGATGACCTCCGTTATTAGAAAACAGTGGATGCTTTGAATTATTCATAAAAGCCATCGCTGCTCCCGAGGTGGCAGTTTATTGTTTGCGTAATTGTTCTTTTGTGTTTGTAATGACAGCAGTCGGCCAGTATTGTCAAAGTGGCTTTAGATGTCTTTCATTGTGTGTAAATACGTTTCTT